AGAAAAGAACTCATGCGTTACGTACCTCGAAACTTTCTACGTTTGCCACCTTAATTTGTGTTTGTTCTTTTACGTCCTTTTATAAGGACTAGTTCGTGGACTATTTAACGCTTTTTCTGCCCACATCATAATACAGTTTAATCACTTTTTTGTAGCTTTCCTTTTGTCTACTAGTGCAATGGTTAATATACTCCTTTTTATTGTCGACAATATAGTGTTATTCTATCTCCCATATGGGCCGGCCCTTGGCATGGGTCTATGTTGTTTATGCAACTTTTTGTTAAGATTTTAGGGCCTTTTTAATGTAAATGTTTCACATTTTTCTCTCTATTATACAGCTACTAATTAAAATCTAGTAAAACCTGAATGGCAATATTAGAACCGTCATTTCGAATGAGCTAACTTGTTTATGAGTTGAGAAGAGACCAACACTAATATATAATGAACAAATTAGTAATAGGCCGCATTTGTTGAGAAATTACTAAAACCATGGTTCATTGATTAGTTTCGGAAGTAAAAAAAATGGCAAGATAGAGAAACAAAATGAATAATGTATATCTCATTATTCTGATTTCCAGCATCGGCAAGTTTCATAGATTACTGGGAAAAAAACTAATTTGAAAAGAAAAAAAAAATCTAAGTTGGAAATATGAGTAAATATATCCACAAAACATTTTTCTGGAATCCAAAACAATTATGCGAACCCAACATATAATCCAACGGATTATAAGGAATCTCGAAAACACTATACTAGTTGTGTTCATCATACCAATTGATGCCTCGAAACCTTCATCATCCATAGTCTTATTATACTCTCCCTCACTTGACACATCCCATACTTCCTCTGTTTCTTGACTCTTTACGACCAATCTATTGAGGAACTGCTTGAACCAGTTAACGGAATCTTTTGGATTACGTTCGAGATTGTTGTCGTAATCAACATAGTACAAACCGAACCTAGTTGAGTATCCATACTCCCACTCAAAATTGTCTAGTAACGACCACGTGTAATACCCTCTGACGTCACATCCATCCTCTCTGTTATAACAATAATCATTAATAAAACTGTTAATATATGGCCATCTTTTTGCATTTACGATTAAAAGGA